CTTTTATGAATACATCAACTGATCTTAAATTTAAATATAAAATGTAATAGCAGTTTTACCCGAAGAGAAAAAATGTGTACCTTAGCACAGATTCGTGTTCAAGAGCTATTGAAGACAAGTAATCATAAATTGATTTTTGATCTTTCACTACGAATTCATTCATCAGCAGCGAATCATGCATCGATTCAAGAAGAATTCTAAGTAACAAAACAAAGTTAACTTTACGAACTTTGATATAAGTGATCGATCAATATTGAGTAATTTATATTTTTATTACCTTATATATCTGAATTTTGTAATATAAAATAAATTCGCTGACACTATAGTATGAATGCCTATAGTGTATATAAATACAACCCCACTAGCAATTATTAAATTTATAATAAAAAAATTAAAGAAATATTTATTTTGGTAATATTCCGATGCAAAATGTGATGCCAGATGCATTTTGTAAGTTCCATTTTTTACCAATATATTTTCTATCAAAGGTATGATCACTGGCAATGTGACATATGAATAAAAGCTGAAGGCTGTCAAAGCTTTCAAAATATATTTGTAAAAAGATGATTGTTTTGAGATCTTATTGTTACTCTTACCAGAAACGATTTTAGAAATAAGATTAGCTTGGTGGATACATTTTTTTAATAATTCTTTATTTTCAGAATTTGGTGGTACCCAACATGAAGCCACTTCCCGGAAAATGAACCGTACCTTTCAAAGCAGATTGCAAAAATAGTGAAAGTAAAATCTACAGTGCTGAAACCGAATAGGTTACCTGAGTGATGCATTTTTTATTTAATCCAAACCAATATATAACGAACGCGTTGTATAAAAATATAGATATTTGAATAGCACAATCAGTTATAACGTCTAACCGCCTATTGGGCTCCGTTACTTCTAATATAAAATAATAGATCTGCGAAACAATTTATTTTTCATATAAATTAAATTTTCATCATTTTATTATACCTTGAAGATCTTAAAATTTCTTCTTACGCTTAATATCGTCACTAAAACACATGAAATGTACGCGATTGCAGCGCGTTTCGCTCGTTTTTTTCTGTTTCCAAATGGCCATAGACCAAATACATCCATAAGCATAATAATGATTGCGAAAAAATTTTTTTTCAATACGATTTCTACATCAGAGTCAGTAAGTTGTGGAGGTTTATGAATTTTACGCATTCCTTTAGTGGAATATGCCATTTTGAAAACTAAAGTGTGTATTGAAAGACACATAGAATGAAAATAAAATACTTGTATTCTAATATTGAAAAAAAATCAGATACATGTAAATTATGCAAATCACGTGGAAATATTTTTCTATTGTTATGAACAAAGTACGAATGAAAGACATGTATCACAATAGAAATAAAATTGATTTTTTTTCTGTAAAAAGATTTCAGAACAACAAATAAAACGAGCTATATACTATAGTGCTCTTCTAGTTTAGGTTCATTTATCCATACAGCTTGTTTACATTAACTATGACACGAAACCCATTCTAATCACTACTTCGAATTCATTCATTTTCACGTATAAATAAACTGAATCATAACGTGCAAAATTCAATAAGTTCAATAAAGATATCTTCAATTTTCATTTTTCAGTACTAAACGCCACTCCGTGAGAAAGATACTCCATACCCGCGCTACGATCGTTTTCTCTGCGGCAGCGCGGTAACAGATACATGAATAGGTAGGTATAGGTACACTCCACACGCGCGCAGGTGAGTCTCTCTATACGTGAATGGATGCTGCCGTTGTAGCTATATGCCTGCATATACATTGCACGTGAGAGCCTGCGAGGCCTTTCAAGGTCTCGTCTGGATGTGTAATTGTAATACGCAATCTCTCTCTCCTAGCGCAGGGCGTCGCTCGACTGCGCTCGGCATTTTCACTCTGCCCCGTGTGACGTGACGTGATATTTACGGTATATACGTACGTATATGTCGGCGAGAGAAGAGAGTTGGAAAAAGAATCCCGCTTGATTTTCATGGGAATAAAATTGAGCTAAGAAAAGCTTCCGAGGGGAATGATTACGGATGAAACTAATATCGATTCGCGCGTACTTGAAGGTATCGAATCTTTTTACATATAGCTATCACCGTTCGTAGCTATGAAGACGAAGACGATGAAGAAGAGGTCGCTTATCGTACCCTAATACGTTCGTACGTCTTTGCCGGAATTCTTGTTCATTTTTGGATCGACGTTTTTTTTTTCATCGCAAAGAATGGAGCATCCTCTTGCTTCGACGTGCGCTCCTCGTAGTTTCACTTGCGTGCAGACTCGCGTGAAATGACAGATGATTTGTGCACGTTGCTTTTTCATCCACAGCTTTAGGCCTATATCGAGCGTAGAAAAACAGCGGTGGTGGGAAAAAATGTTTCGATACTTTTTTTATCGAATTTACTTGAGATTAATCGCTTCATATACATGGTAGCGAGAACCGTTTCGTTTTTATCGTAAATAATCGTAATTTCGAAGCGTAGAACGCGATTAATAAGAAATCGCACTCGGAGGTGTGAACAAAAGTCGAGGTCGATTCGCTCGATCTATCCGGAGCGTACGAATCGAAGAAGGTGCCGCAAACACGGCGCTGTGCGGGCAACGCGCGAGATCGTCTTGTTGATTCAAGCTCTTTTATCATTATAGAAAGTCGCGTGCAAAAGAAATGGAGTTGGATATTCTACGCGGAGAGCATTAAGTGCCAACAAGACGCGGGGACGACGCTCGTGTGTATACTCGGTGAGTTCGATACTTTTCGCGCAGAAATCGCAGCAGCGAATTGCGGAACTGTGATATTTCAAGCCGGAGAACATGAGTCGAAAAAGAGTCGGTGGCGCGCGCCGGTTCCGATCGCTTGTTTATGTTTTGTGTGATTTTGCGAGCGGTTGAACACACGCGGTTATTATATAGTGTGCCCGACATGCCCCGCGTGTCTAAAAGTCAGAGTGACACTTCGTTTGGGCAAGTTTGTATCAGGAGAGCAGGCGACGACGAGAGATGGTCGTAAGTTTCTTCTTTTTGTGTTTGGCCAAAAAAATTCAACGCGATCGTGTTTCTGCTGTAGATTTTAGCTGAAATATAAAGCGAAACCGATGGAATTTCCGCAAAAGCGACCTTTTTTGCTTCTGCCTCAAGGACTTATTTTTTTTTCACGTAAGTCACGTACGTTGTTATAAAAAAGAGTCATATAGTATATTTATTTCCGCACTATTTCCGAGATAGTATATAGCATACGCGATAGTCGCAAAAACAAATACACCAAGCCGCAAATGTGGTCAAACTTTCAATCTATATCGTTTACGCTCTATGGTTTACTTCAATAGGTGCCACGGATATGAAAACGCACGAGTCCAACTGCCGGTTAAAAAAAAAATAATATCTATTAACAATACAATTTTAGCAAATTTCACTCGGTTCTACAAAATCAGCACGCGGTTGTATCTCCGCTTCATTATCACCCAACGCGTCGATATCGCATTTAAAACCCGATACACATCGAGCACACACACACACAACAAACTGGACGAGGTCTAGGTATATCATACATGTAGAGACGCTCTTTCTATGGTCGGCACTGTTTGATTCGACCGCATGTCTCGCTATTACGAGTAAGTAGCTCGAGGCACACATCGCTCATACCAAGAGACGACGACTGCACAGTGACACGAGAGGTGCTTCTTCTTCTCTATTTAATAATAACGAGGAACAAGCAACCCGGAAAAACGCCTATGCTATATACACGTGTGCGTGTGTGTGCTTTTATATACCTGTATAGGACACAAAAAACCACATCGCTCGCTCGCTCTCGCACTGTGAAACTTTATGATTTTCTACGAATCGCTTCTTGGGGTTATTATAATGATAGTGTGTAGCTTTCACGTGCACGCAAGGTAGAAGTATATAACAGGCACTTCTGTGTTGTTTTTTTTTCGTTTTATAGAACAAATGATGCGCAGCGCGAGTCGTCGTTAATAAGCCGCGCGCGCGCGCATTCGAAAAAGATTCGCGAGAGCTCGAATCCGCGCAAATTATCTTATCGGCGAGGTACCTACATAATAAAAGACGTTATTGTAATTGCTTCTTTTTTTTCCAATTCGCGAGATAATGTACACAGATACACACATGCATACGTTGGCATAAATGACGAACGACTCTTGTGGATCGATACATCTGGTATTTATATCTCGTTCTGTAGGACCGTGATTTATTTTTCCCTCGATTAAAATCAATCGACGTAGAAAACAAGGCGCATGCATGAGAATGTTTATGCATGAGCTAGCCCGAACGCGTAACTTTTGATCGCCGAAACTCCAGCGCACGTTTCGGAGCAACGACACGAATATAAGCCCATAAGCACGCTCCGAAATCAATGCAACGAACTTTGGGTATATATACGTGAATGCGGGCAGTGCCATTACCTACATAGGTACAAAAAAAACAACAGACAAAAGTACGGAAAATCCTCCCGTGCGCATCCGCAATATTTAGTTCTCGAAAACCAGTTCTCCGCATTTAATACAGATTTCTGTACTACAACAACAACACGAGACGATATTACGTGCGGCACTCCGCCGCCAGCCTGTAGCACGTCACGTCGTCGTGCACACGCACGCGCGTCGCCTATAATACGTATAACACAATGAAAAGTATTTGACGTTGATCCTCGCCTCCGACCTTGAAAAATAATAGAGGAACGCGGAGAACGAGAGCAGCGAACGTTTCTTCTTTTCTCTTTTTCAAAAAAATACAGTCGAACGTTCGTTTTCTAATAAATATGATGTGTGAGGTTATGCTCGCTAATGTGTCTGTGTACGCGCAAAATATCCAATGGCAACGGGCGCGCGCGCGACTACACGCGAGACGTAAATAAACGTGTGTGTAGGTAGCGAAGGATCGAGCCGCGGCGGGCAATTATTATATGCCTTTTGCAACAGCAGCGGCAGCGTAGCGCGTTACGAGAGAGTGACTATATGTGTTACATTACAAACTCACCATGTTGACGACCTTGTCTCGAATTTCTCTCGCTCCTTGTGAACTTCTCCCTCTTCTTTATTATTCTTCTTCTCTCTCTTTTTTTTAATTCAAAAATTGCTTAGAGAGGTATGCGCGGTATACTGCAGGCACTGCACGTACTCTCTATACGACGACGAGCGCACTCGGTTCACCTATTATCGATTCACACCGCTTTTCCGACGAGGCTATTTCTGTGAGCGTCGCCGCGCATTATATCGGCGGTATATGGACTATACTGCAGCGGAGCACACTGGCATTCAATTCGCCGCCACGCTGCGATTCATTTCACTAAAAACCAACAGGAAAAAAACAACACAATGTAACACGTTAAATGAATTTCGCTGCACGCACTCAACTTATCGATCGGAAGGTCTTTTTTCCTCTTTCTGTTGTTGCTCACGCGAGAGAGAGAGAGAGAGAGAGAGAGAGGTCTTAGTCATACAACTATACACGCGGTACACCGTGCCTCAATGGAACGCATTTTTTTTTGTTAACCGTTGATGTCGATGATGATGATGATGATGCTGATGCACCACATGCAGTGTGATTCACGCGTCTTTCATATATTATACTTCAGTTGCAACAAAAAAAACGAAAAAGAACCGTAAGCAGAGTTCAAAACACGGAGCACAATCTACAAGTGGACGACGATGATACGAACGATCGATTATTCAGCCCCGATGCTATATTTGTACACCAACGACGAAAAAAAAAGAAGAGTCCAGTGAAAAATTTTGATTAGCGATAGCGTCCGCGAGCAAACACAAGCGTGTCCGTCTTTTCTTCTCTTTTTTTTTGTGACTTGCGAGCTGCCAATGCGGATACTCATTAGCTTTTTCCGCGATGATTCATATTATATTCGTATTCGTACATACGAGAGCAGCAAATGCGCTCGAATTGACAGTTACAAAGCGGAACGCTGCTCTGCGCTCGGTATCACAATCCCGTCGTCGTCGTCGTCGTCGCCGTCGTTGTCGGTCTAAGACGATCAAGTGATTCATTTAATAATGCACGATCGTCGCAACGTAGCGCTCCCTTCAATTGTCGTTGTCGTCGTCGTGCATACATAAATTGTGCGTACCGAGCACTCAGCAGTATGTGCAATGATAAACACGCACGAAGAAGAAAAATTATAAATAAAAGTATGTACGTCTCTCGCGCGATATACGGAGCAGCAACAGAAAGCGAAAAATCGATCTCGCGTAAAAACAATCACCTTTTCTTCTAACACACTTTTGGATGGAAACACACACGAGTAAACACAAAAACTTCGAAATGACAACTCGTAAACGATAGCGAGCAACGAACGTTTGGAGTCGCGCTGCGAGAGATTTGCAATAATACCGGCGCGAGAGCCCGAGGGACACTGACACACACGCGGAGAGATTTCTGCGTTGCTACCGCCAACATGAGTCGTGTCTACTGCTGCTGCTGTTCACGGTGATGACGCGCGGCGTGCGGCGAGGCGCCGCAGAAACACCAGCAGCAGCAGCTGGTCTATCCGACCGAAGAGTAATGTAAGGTAGACCGAGAGAAGAGGAGGGGAAACTTGAAGTGTATATCATGTGTTATGTATACATGTGCACACACATAGACACGTTTTGCGGCGATCGAGGGGCGCCTTCGCTTCGTCTTCTTCTTTCTTTCGGACACACACGCACGCGTGTGTGACGTAAAAGAGTGCGAATTTTTGACGTGTGTTTTTTCCCCCGGTAGTAGGTTATAGTACAGCACATATGCTTGCAATTTTTTCGGGGATTTCAGCGATAAGGACGCGCGGAGATATTCATTTAAGATATTCATTTATTTTTGCAGCGAGTCGTGTATCCGAGATCCGAGATTATTGTTAAAAAAGACTTGCCTAACACAAATATCGTTTATTATACTGGTTTTTGATAACAAAAAAAGAGGTAAATACAATAAACCAAAACGCCACGAATATTTTGAACTTTTTTTTTAATACTCATATATTATGGCCAATCATACATTTCGTTCAAGGAATATTTCTTGTTATAAATTTCGCATTACAAAACAGCATTTTTATATTTACATTTGATTTCTTTTTATTTTCTGTTCCTCGTCGCTTTATTTTTTTTACTTTTTTTTTATAATAGTATATGATGGCAATGGTGTGTATAATGTTTATACGTATTTAATGGCGTTTTACGTGCATAATCGATTACTTTTGTTTTTTCAATCTACAAAGTGACACATTCTGCCTGGGCGATTGTTGTATAACTTTTGCCGAAATTTTGTCTAATTTTTGCATGACTAGAAAACGATTATTTCGAGGGCAAGCTCACAAAAGGTCGCTATTAAATCGAATTGAAAGTTAAGATTAGTTTTTTTCTTCTTCTTCTTTTGATCATAGCAAGATAACGGCGGCTTTTATTAATTAATTTTTGTTTTTTATCAATGCGTAATGTTTTATCTTACTTGTTAACACTTTCACTCTAGCCTCCCGTATAATATACAAAAGATTTCATTTATAAGAGTATTTTTAATACGTACTGATTACTTAATTTCTCAATTGACATTTTTCATTATTTTATACATCGATTTGCAGGGAGCTGCAAACCCACAAGTTTACCGAATATTGTTTTATTCTTTTTCTTATTATCGCTGAGCAAAAAATTTGAATAGCCGATTTTACATGCAATTAGTCGACTCGGTATATAAATTTTCATACAGTTCACTTAAACAACATGCTTAAAAAATTCGTATAGGTTTTCATAGCGCACAAAAGAGCGTTTCCATTAAAAAAAAATTCGTAGTCAAAAAGTATTCGATTTGTTCGTAGCTAAAGAGCTGAATAATAAATTTGACGAAAAAAATCGTCAAAAAATTTTCATATTATACAAATTGCAATTGCTCAAGTCGCGTTCTACAAAAAGACAGCATTGTAGGCACTTTTAGAAATAACTGATGGTATTATCATTTGATAAAATACTTGATAATTTCATTACAATATAAATCTACATTATTTGTCGAAAGAATCTGTTGCTGGTTAATTTCGAGTCGCAAAATATTTTTATTTTTCCTACATTGACAACATCATCATATTGTTACTTAGAAAAGCTGATCATGAAAGAACAATTAATTTTTATGAAAATGAAAACCGATGGCTTCGATTCAAAATATTGATTAAAAATTTGCTGTGTTGAAAATTTTTGGCTGTATTATTGACGGTTATGCATTTCATATTTATTTTTTGTTGTATATTTTATAAGCTAATGGAGTTTTTTATGCTACATATCTAGATTTTTTCTCGTATATGTATATATATTACACGCGCTCTTAAAAATGTTTTTCGGCTTGCTTTGAGCGTACAATGCACGCGTACAACTGACCTGTTGTTTCTCAATTATAAGCAGAAAAATTAACACTGCCTCGCGATACAATCCGTTATATTTTGTATCGATTACCAACGGTAAGAGTAAAATATATGCACGAAGAGCATCGATCAGCGTTGATGGATGTGTACGAAACTTCGAAATTACAAATGAAAATAACAGATCGTGACAGCGTCGATTCAACAAAACGTATATGTATATATGCGGTGACAATGACAGTGTAAAATGTTGGCCACAGATCTTTTTTTATCATCTTTTATTATATTTTTTTATTTTGTTTCCCAAACTTAATAGTACTGTCCCATGTTAGGAAGTTATGTATAGATCTCGAAACACGAATTTCGAGTACAAACTTTTTTGTTAATAACAAGCATTCGCGAACCTTTTGACATTTTAAGAAACATCATCTTAGAGCGAGTCGTTTATAAAATAATCAAAAAGGCTTCTAGAGCTTTAACCTTACAACCACTGCGTCGAAAATATTTACATGAATTGTTTTTACGATACAAAATAATCTAGATTACGTTTTATTCCCTAATACCATACATTATAATTATAATAGCGTTTACACTCAACAAAGACGACATAATCAAACTGATCTTGACGTCATTCAGTAGACATAGTAAATTGTAACAATATTGGCCAACATTTAAGATTCAGACAGTTAAGTCAGTGCTTTGTTTTTTAATTCCAAAGAATTCCAGAAAAAATTCCCTTTTTTCCACCCTCCCTCCTCCACGAACGCAGAGAGGCGCGTTTACGCGATAAACGACGACGACGATGACGAAGACGAGGCCTTGCCATCCTCGAGTCTTGTTAATCAGAAAAAGCCGAACTTTCTCTTCAAGAAGTTCTTGACCGGGGCGTAGTACTGCGCCCTCAGCGCCACCATCTCCGGGGTCTTGCGCAGCGCCTCGAACAGCTTCGAGTCCGTCTCGAAGACGACGATCGTCACGACGAGCAGCACCGTGACGGTGAGCACGAGGGCGGGCACCAGCAGCTTGACGACTTTCACGGCGCGCCGCTTCATCAGCTTGTTGGCGGCGTCCGAGGCGCTGGTCGACGAGGCGCCCATGGCCTGGCCCATGTGCTGCTGATGCTGGCCCAGGTGCGAGTGACGATGGCGCAGCACCGAGTTCGGTCCGCCGAGGGCCGAGGTCGACGACGAGACGCCGCCCTTCTGTATCAGACCGCCGCCACCGCCGATTTTGGAGTTCTGCAGGCGTTGCATCTTCGGCACGGGCTGGTGAATCGACGAGCGACTACCGGTGAGGGTGCCGCCGCTGGCGTCCAGCAGTTGGCTCTCCGAGGAGGAGTGATCGAACGAGTCGCGGAAGTAGTAGTCGCTGCCCTCGTAATCGTGTTGCAGCACTGTGAAATACGTAAATTTTATATCAGTATACGGTTCGAGATTCGTTATAGGTGGGCATGTATATTATATGTTGAGAAAAGAATTAATTTTTAATAGATAATGATATTAGAAAATGAAGATATTCATAACGAGATTAATGCGAGATTAATTGACAATTGATTGATGTCCTTTTCTTAGCGCTAAAAATAAATTATCAATAATCTACGAGATCTAAAATATATTAAAACATCGAAATTCATTTCATGTTCTATTACGCTATTATGCGGCACGAGCCAGCAGTAATAATTTTTATCAAATAACACTTTTACAATTATGTATAATTTATAATAGAGGTATATTTAACACATTGACTCTTGCTTTACCAACCCTTTCATTTCAAATCGAAGATTCGCGAGTGTATCGTTTTTTTTTTATTGAATATACAAATCTTGCGATCAACCAAAAATTTCATGCTAATTAGCAAGCCAGAACAAAAATAAACTCTAAGAAGCGCATCTATAATATAGAATCAAGCTCGGCAACAAAAAAAGTAATACTATAAGGATCTAAATTTACAGCGCATTGGAAAATTAAACGAATCAAATGAAAATATATACTCGACTACTGCTATATATCCTCGTTAAGTGCGCTAAATAAGTAACAAAGCTTGAAACCTAGGATTAAAGAAAAAACGTAATCAACTTTTCAATGCACACATATATGACAATAAATATATAGATATACAAAACTGACTACGGCTGAAAAACGAAGTGATCAATGATGTATGAAATTGTAATTGCTGAAATGCGTTCGTTTGGAAGAAAATGACCATCGCAATTAACGGTTTTCGAGGATCAATCAACAATGGGCTTATAATAGTTAGTTATGCATGTAAAAGTAATTTCGTGTTAATGGTATATTACAATCGATTCCATCGATTCTCCGATGCACCATTATTAGTTTTGATCCTGATGATATGCTGACCCTTCATGAGATAATGATGTATACTTTTTTTTTTAATTGAATGATTGATGTCGAATATTCCTCTGATACGTTGAATTTCACTGATCGAAGAAACGTGTAACTATAATGTATACGTGTAAAGCTGATCAACCAACGTAACAGAAGAAGAGATGATGATTTTTTTTGATGATGAATAGATGTCGGTATAAGGTTTACTTCTCGGTACAGACGATCGATTGGATTTTCTCTGCCCCCTCTGATCGTCGCGGGCGCGCGAGACTCACCTGAACCGTCCACGTTATCATCGTCTCCTCCTCCTCCTCCTGCTCCCGTGCTACTGCTGCAACTCGCTAAACTGGTCGCGTCACCGTTGGCCAACTTAATCGTCTGCAGGGCCAGATCGCTGGTGACTCGCGCCACGGCGTCGTTCACCTGGAGCAGGGGTGCAGCAGGGTGCAGCGGCCTCGGCTTAGCCGGGGCGAACGAACGCTTGACTATGAGCGCCGTCGTCCTCACGACTCGCGGACTCTTGTTGAACTCGTCGATGCGACGACGCACGACCCGATCGATGTCGCGGCCGTCCTGCAGCTCGTCCGAGCCTATGACTACTTTGTGACTAATGAGCGGCAGATGCTGCTGCTGCATCTTCAGCTTTACTCGGCTTGGATGATGATTCATCGGGGTGATATTATTGTTATTGTTGTTGTTGATATTAATGTTGTTGCTGCTGCTGCTGCTGCTGTTGCTATTGTTAATATTATTATTATCGTTATTTGTGGTGGAAGAGATTTTTGGCGCATCTGTCGTGATACTAGTAGGCGTGGTTGATGTTTCACTTGTTGTAATTGATGTTGTTGTTGTTGTTGTTGTTACATGACAGGTTGTGGTAGTAGTAGTACTTGTGGTATCCATTTCATGGTCATTTTCTTCGTCTAAAGATATATAAATTAAATAAGATAATAATGCACCAATTTTGCGGAGTTGCGACGAGAAAAGCAGTGAAGTCGCGCGCAAAAAATTGACTCTTGCTTTGCAAAATCATAATCGTTTTATTTTTCAGGCAGGGTCAGCATTGGTTTATTTTTTATCTTGTTAGATTTGTGCAGTTTGACGAGTCACTATTATATTGTAAACTACTGCTTCAAACTCATTAAAGAGCACAAATACTAACGCAATCAAATAACAACGAAGTAAAGTTTGTCGATCAAGAGTTTTAGTTTCTCCTTTCGTGCGCACAAACTATTCTTCTCTCAAAATAAAATAAAAATCATAATTCCCATGCAATTTTCAGTGCCTAAAAAAAAAAATAGCGTTGGTGTTTGTTTGCTTTTTTTTTCATTTCGTTCGATTGATTATTTATAGCTTTCGTCATGCATTTTCGCCAGAATTCATATGTATACTCAATAAAGACGGAATTATTATTTTCACAATCGATAAGATTTCCCCCATTTTTGTACTTTCGTTACCGAGCGACCTCTCGCTCGCACGGAAGAATTCTTTTTATCGAGAGAGAGATACAACGTCGACGTGATACTTTTCTAAAAAGAAAATTTCGAGAAAAGAAGAAGGAGAGACGTCGATGTAATACAAACCATTGTTTCTTCTCGCGTGTATCTCCTGGTCCTCGGAGACGGTCTCGAGGAGCGGCAGCGTGTTGTCCGGGCAGTAGGGCGAGCTCAGTGGCATGCCACCGCTGCCGATGTCGCCCATGCCCGCCCCGTCCAGTCCCGCGCTGTGGCAGCTCCTCGGCAAGCTCGAGTATCCTGCATCGAGAAAAAAATGTTTATCTTAACGCATTGTCAACTGTGAGGGTTGCCTATAGGATATATAATGCACTACGTTACAATTGCAGCGAACACCGTGTGAGTGTTGGAGTACTACGTGTACACAGACTAATGATTTATTTTTATTTTAAATAAAAGAATGGAAACAAGTTTTGATGAAGAAAGAAAAAAAGATGATCGATATAGAAGAAGCACATATATATATCAATGTCAATGTCCGCAGGCCGCACGTCTCTCTATAGGCACGTGTGCGCGCATTCATGTCTACTAACGAATCTCGCAAAGATCCTGACTGGGTGTGCTCGGTGTCGCCGGCACGCTGCTCGCTTTGCGTCGCAGGCCCGTCGAGTGGCAGCGCTGTATGGGCGGCTCCTCCTTGCGCAGCGGCCCGACCTCCTCCAGGACCTCGCGCTCCGTCCTGCCGGTGTACTTGAACTTGGTGCCCCAGGAGAAGAGCGAGCCGCCGCTCATGACGGGCGCGTCCGAAGCTCGTGGCAGCCTGTGTAAATAAATTCGGTCAAAATTACGTAACGATCATTGAAAAATTGGTTGTTTTCGTCTCTTTACTACTACTATATATATATAAGCTGCTGCTGCGGGGGGAGATATTGATTAATCCGATCGAAACCTGTTTTTCCGAAACTTTCGACGCGCGCAAAGTTTTCGAGTTATTGCCAAGAAAACTTTTGCAGCCCTATAGCTATACTATCTTTATGCTTATAGGCCTCGCCCTCCTCCCACCCACTTCTCTAGCCCGAGAGGCTTTTAAAATACTTCATGCACCAATAACGATGTTATTATAAAGTTGAGCTACACCAGCTCCATTCATCAACAAGTTATAAATTTGACACGACGGGAATCGCGAGTAAGCGACGCGAGCATTCGATTTATAAAATACGAACGTAATCACGAGCGGCTGTGTATACGAGGAGAAGGTAAAAACAAGGTCAAAGGTATAGGGTCGAGACCTGGGGTGAAGTTCGACGCGTGTAACAGCTCGCAGTGGCGCGGGCTTAATGCCAGATCTAAATAGCAGCTGCAAGCTCGCTCGTACGTATAGACGTGCGAGCGCGCGACAATTGATAAAGTTTCTCTCGGCAGTTACTTACTCGCCCAGGAGCCGCCGTCTTTGAGATTAAATATTTGTTAAATTTGTGGTTTCCGTACACGGGCATACAACCGAACTTTCTCCGAATGACGCTCTGCTCCGCGCGCGAGCGATATTATAATTTACGACCGCCGCGAAATATTACTACTATCGATCTCGGCCGATAAGAGAACTCGAAACAAACAAAGTGTAATGATATAATAAACGTCGATCGAATAACATACATCCTGTTTTACAACTGCCCGCATCCGGTGATCTGATTTTTTTTTTTCATTAATCTTTTTTAGAAACTTCGCTAATTTTCTCTCGCTTTTTTTCGCTCTCTCTCCACGGAAACATCCAGCGACCAGTCGTGTAAATGACTGATTGTTGTCGAACATTTATACAGAACTCTCTGCATACGGCGTAGTTATACATACACACGCACACACACATACACACAACAGAAGTTATTTGGTTTCAAATTACGAGCGAGAGAGCTTTGTTGTGTACCCGAATTACAATGGGCTTTTGTCGCTTTGTCGACTTTCGCGCGTCGCGCGCGAGCTTCCGTATGTATACATACCATGCATGCATGCACATAACAGAGAGAGAGGTGTGCAGCAGCATCGCGTGCGAGCTTTTGTCACGCGGCACCGCAATTCGCCTGATTTTATACTCTCTTTTAAATGCTACAAATTAGAAATTATATACTCGCGCAGCAGCACACAGTCCTTTGAGCATTAAGTTTCACGTGTTTTTTATTTTGTAATTTTTGCCCTTTTTTTTATCTTTTTCCCTCTGAATTAAATATTTTCGCTCTTATAATCCGATGCTCAACGTATGCAGCCTCGGATCGTGGGGTGGGATAACGGGGTGAACTTTCATATTCCGAATTCAATTTAACTCTCCGCGCGACGTGTATAAATGTCGTACCCGTGGCCAACTACATTTCGTATTTACGAATTCATCGTGTGTGCTCACGGAGATAGCCTCCGACAGGGTACACGCACTACTACATACATCTAACTCGTTCGTTACGAACTCGCGTCGCGTATTCGCATTAATACAAGCCTAAGCTTGAAACCCACCCCATACCCCCAGTCCTCGGCTCTCTCGCGGTTGAATATTATTTTTGAGGCGCGCGCGTGAATCCGTACGTATACGTCGCGTGTCGTAAGAAGTATAACGTTTTTCCCACATTGCACAGCGTATACCGTAGCCGCAGTGCGCCAATTCGCGACGTTAATTAAGGCCGAAAGCAATTTGCGTTATAACGTCGTATACAGTACGTACGTACGAGTGCGTGCGCGTGGATCCGGACTAATTGCCAAGTCTCTCTCGCGCACCGTGCGCGCGGTATAATCATCATTATGTATCGTGTGTTATATGTACCATATAGACTACTTTTTTTTATACTTGAAACCCAAAGAATCGTGTGTATACTCGTGTTTGGCAAACGCGGCCCCTGACGACATGCTCTCGGTTTGTACAGAGCCGCCTCGACGGTTGCGTGTATTACGTGTGTCGCGTTTATACAGCGAGCTTTTTTCGCGACAGCGTGTATACAATATGTAGGCTTGCGCGACGCGCGTTCGACTGATCGATGATGGCTCGTTCGTTGTCCAGTAAAAAAATAAAAATAAAAATATAATAATGATACTCACGTGAAAAATAACATTTGCTCGATGGCGCATCTCCAGACGTGGCGACAATTCGAGCCCGTGGGACACTTGAATCCGACGGTGTGCTTTTTCTGCAAAAAAAAAGGCAAGAGAAAAAAGAAAATGAGTAGTCTCCTTCATATTTCCACGCCACGAGACGTGCACATAAATTCTCGTATAGCATCCTTTTTATACAGGCCAGACGCTATACCGTATATAGATATATTATAATGTATCTCGTCGAATAAATCTCAAGTTCGCTCATTATCCGGGCTTTTCGCCGCGTAAGTAGCCGCGAGTAAATCTACTTTGTGTTGCGCGAGGCAAAAATGCCCCGCTCAAAGCGTGTATATATACTTAGTGCGCGCAGAGCTAGATGAGTCGAGCGGTAAAAACGAAGATAAAGAGAGAAAAATAAGTCGAGTGTTGCTCACCTTCGTTCGCATGTCCTGAAGTATAGTCAACGAAGCAGTAGCGGTAGAGAAGCAGGAGTCAGCCACCAACAGTATCGACAGCAGCACCAGCAGCAACAAACGAGGGTACCCAGAGAGACAAAATAATAGTATTAGTCGGGGCTTGTCGGACTACATAATCCAATCTCCGCAAGACTATGCGAGCTTCTATGCTGGTATTAGGGGGGTGGCAGTGTCGACTATTATTTAATCGCTACTTGTTAATTGATTTTCTGGGATGAATACATATAGAGGCGAGGGGTGGTTGTGTACAATACTTTATATCTTTTTTCTTTTGGGCTATATAATATAAGCGATCAACTGTAAAAAAATACACAAGCTAATTTCTCGTATGTATTTCTCTAAGTAAATATACATCAATCGTGTACTAAATGTGCAAGAATAACACACACACGCGAGTTTTATTTATACTATCATACATTTATAATGTATGTATTCTCTATACTAGCCTCGTATAGTGTGTAAACCAACCGACCGACGAAGCGTTGATTCGATTAAGACGCGCGTATACGTATCATACGTGTCTTATGCGAGCGACTCGCGCGATGCAATTTATTAAGCTCCACGCCACGGGCCTCTAGGACTCGTAGTAACATATATTATGCACTCGCCGCCACACATGTATGCGGTGGTGGCGGCGGTATTAACCCTGCACTCGGGCCGCCGCCGCCGTATTATAAAACATACGAGATATATAATTATATATAGAATACGGCTCGGTTGCACAAAACGAGCTGCACTGTGCTCTTCGGTGCAAGTGCGCTCATACATACGTATATATAGATAACAATATAACCACTGCACGCGCGGGGGTGTACCACTACTACCACCACTACGTTCACGACCGCAAGGTTAATGCCGAAGGGACTCGCTTCGATTTTCCGCTGCTGCTGTCTGCCTGCAACGAGGCAGTGTGCGTGGAGCTTCTTGCCGCCCCCCCACCGCATCGATGCACTTGCACACGTGCATCGTTTATTCATATATACGCGAGCTTTTGCCCTTTTTGTTTGGTTCTTTATTTATTCACGTATTTTCGTATAGTTAACTTTTGCATCGCGCGAGTGGGTATATACTGTACGTATGGAGCGAAACAAAATTGATTTACATTCGTCTTCCGCACCGGCCAGCGTAAAAACAAAAATATAAATATAGCTCGATTCGCGTGTGCATTATTCTAGCGTTGAAAAGCGATACAAATTTTATTAAAACACGCATCGCGTAGTCGACGACGAAAAGAAGAAATACTTTTTCTCAAGTTGGATACACCTTCATATGTCTCGCATGAAAAATTACGGGTGGTCCCTTGCGTATACGTCGCCGATGTGTGGACACTTTTCAAGAAAATATGTTTTACACGCGAGTCACGCACACGTGTGCATGTCTCGAAGGTATATATCCGATGCATTATGGATTATTTCATATATGCAGGGACACCTATTCTAACGATACATCAGCACGAGTCGTTATACATCTAAATCGCTCGACAAAAAAATCGTTTAATTATCATGTATATTAATTCGTATTGCCATTGTTCTTTCTACCCTACGATATAATATACTCTATTATACATGAGTGGGTGAGCGATGATGATGATTGCTCTATATTATAAGGTCGATTTAAAAAACACCTACACACAAGAGACTAAATCCAAATGTTATATGCTAAACTCGAATAAGGAGGGTATATTCGACCGTGAAACAGAACAAATAACGAACAAAAAAAAAAAAAAAGAAAGAATTAAACACACAACAGCTGGCGTGGTGCGAGTTTTAAAGCGCGAATCGATGTATAATCGCGCGTTCGTTTACATCTATTTGAAAATATGCACCGTACGTATGCGCGTTTGAATTTAGACAAAAAACACGCCCGCATACACGAGCGCCAAAAACAGTTCGGCCGTGGAATGCCGGGGTCTATATAGCGCGCGATTATTACATTTTTCACGCTGCGATTCGCGGCTGGATCCAAATCGTACGTAATACGCAGCTTTATTTTGCCGATCGCGCCCGGCCTTATCTACGTTTCGCCAGGCGTGAATGCGTATATTACGCGCGAACAAATACGCGTGTTCGCGTTATATAGTTTTCTACAATTTTCTGCCTCTGACTATATATTTACGTACGGATGAACTTGGAATGCGTGTGAGAGCTAAATTTTTACTCTATATCGAAGAGCTGGATTAGAACTAATATGTATTACGATGTCCTAAGCTCCTCAAAAGTACACACAAACTAAAATTTAACTATGTATCAAACGTCGACCCGCATAAATTTACCAATTCGCCCATCGATCTGTCTTGGGACATTTGAGAATCGATCGAGCCCGATCTCTCGCTACGATCGTCGTCGCACTGATCGTCTCTCGTCTATACAATCGCATCGATGAAAGTAGAGAGAAAGTAAAAAGAGATAACACAAACAAAATGTATATATGCATCGTTATGGAAAATCACGAGAATCATTCGTATTGTACCTCCGTAATGGTGAGATGCACGATAAACATCTTTCCCTCGTAATTGATCTTCTGCACCTCCGGCCAGCGGAAATGATTGGTCTTGCGAGAGCCCTGGAACGTCAGTATGCCGTGATGATTGATGCCAAGATAGAGCGGCGTGCCCTTCTGATCCTGCAACAATAACGATACATAATATTACATTGCAAAATTTTGGATAACGCATTTTTAGTTTATCTGTACTATCTATACGCGAAGGTGCGAGAATATTTCTCGCTCGTACCGAGAGAGGGATTAACGCTTGTTTATGCTCGAGTGTAGCACAGAGCTATTATCAGGATATTCGCATACGCAACGCAAGAATGTGTGTGCCGCTGTACTCATATACCATAACAAAAGTTCAAATTCCTACACGTGTGTGTGTGAGTAGGTACACGTGCTGGTATCGCCGCTATCGAAGAGCCGGGCCTCGCTCGCTCGTCTCCTCGTCGCGTCTCGTCAATAGTACCTCGGTCATTCGCGCGTTCGGCCGCGTGACAAATTGCCCTTTTATCATAATACATATATTTGAAAAGCCAAAACAGACCGAGTCTCAGAGCCAAGTGGTTTTTTTTGTTTGTCGCCTGCATAAAACTACCCCACTATTTTATTTATATAAGTTTATATAAATTTTCGAGCACGAAATAATAATAGTAAAGATATTATTTTTTTTTAATCAAAAAGCCGCCGAAAAAACACGTCGATCGATCGAATAGTAATTATAATCGATACATAGTAAACAAAGCCGCGTAGCAAAAAAATTATTGTTTTTTTATGTAAATCGTGTACTAGTCTCGCTGTGCTTTCAGCAAATTTCTGTGTATGTGAGTGTGTGTGTGTGATAATAATCGATTACGTATATATAGGAGCGCATCGCCGCGCGTTATATTCGTAGAAATTCGTCGATTACAATAATTGTATATTTTTGAGTGTCTCCTCGTGCGTGTATCAGTGTTAGTGTATAATTGTACAAATAAAAAAAAATCAAAATTAAACCGCTAAAAAATCTACAAAAAAAAATAAACAAAAATTAAGTGTATCAGTGTATTGTAAATAACAAAAAAATAAATCGCGATAGCTCGTGCGCGAACGACAACGAGTGCGTACGTTGCGTATCGTGCATCGTGCGGAGTGAAATTATATAAAAAAAATTATATATCCATCCGATATCCGAAGCTGGAGTAACTCTCGATCGTCCATCGTAGTTCCGAGTATCCGCCGATTTATGCGTGTATTATCTCTGTAAACGTGTGTCCCCGTGAAAATCGTAATAACAATTTTTCGTGTATGTGAAATTGATCCGTATCGTCTACGTAAGTGTGTGTGTAATCGTGCGTTCGTAAACACACACATACAAGTTGGCCCCCGCGCACGCGTTCATCGAGTCGCCGTCGTCGTCGCCGTCGAGAATTTCAACTTTGCCCCCCCGTACATCGCGCGAAAATTTTCTCGCGCGTGCGTGTGTGTGTATTGTATGAAAAACACAGCGGTGCCGTGACCTTGCGCGAGTGAAAGTGTGCGAAAACTTGTACGTATGTGTGTGTGTGTGTGTGTGTGTAGCCGTCGTCTACCTGTGTTTCTCGTTTTGTGTGTACATAATATATAGATATTATTATCTCGTGTAAGTGCGCGCGAAACATAAAATCGTGCGCCCCGTCTGCGTGTATCGTGTCCCCAGTGATGTAAATTAGTGTTTATTTATATGTATTGTCTAGTACGTGGCTGCTTGTACATCTATCTATCGTTATATTTATACATCATCGTTCGTTGTGTGAATATTATCCGATTGAGAATGTGGCATCAGCAGCAGCAAAAGCAACACCATCAGCAGCAGCAGCAGAGGCAGCAGAGGCAGCTGCAGCAACAGCATTCGCTGGAGTCGTCGTCGTCAGAGCAGCAACAACAGATGCAAGTGCCACAGCAGTTGCGCGCCAGCAACAGCAGCATCAACACCAGCAGCAGCAACAACAACAATGGCAACGGCAGCGGTGGCGAAGGTGGAAACGCCAATAAGAGCCACGGCAAGAGCAACGGCAAAAGCAAAGGCAATAACAAAGGCAACAGGCAGCAGCAGCAGCAGCATCAACAGCAGCAGCAGCAACAGCAGCAGCAGCAACAACACCATCATCATCAGCGCGACCAGCCGAACGATATCTACTACTGCTACTGCTTCCTAGGACCCAGGGACCCTAGCGTTATGCTGTCTCTGACGAACGGCGGCAGCAAATCGATGCGACACCAGCATCAGCACAGTTCCAAGCATCAGCATCATCGGCATCAGTGCAATCATCATGAAAATCATCAACAGCACCAGCACCAGCATCATCATCAGAGCCACCATCATAATAATTATAATTATAATTACAATCAGCAGCAGTATCAACAACAGATGCAGGAGCAGCATCAGCGCTCGATGGCGCTGAGACACGCCATGACCAAGGAACTGGTCGAGACCCTCAGACGGCAGGGAATTTACGAGACGTCGGAGGAGACCAACCGACGCAAACTGGTTCACGCGTGAGTTTTTTTTCATTTCTCCTCTTCTTTTCTTTAACGAGATGAAAAAATTCAACCGCGTTTGTATATTTACGTACGCAGAAAACTCAACTTGCTGGTGAAGATGTGGATCAGGGACGTGAGCCTGTCGCACGGCATGCCCGCGGAAGTGGCCGAGGGCTGCGGCGGCCACGTGGAGACCTTCGGCTCGTACAGGCTCGGCGTGCATCATCGCGGCTCCGACATGGACGCGCTGTGCGTCGTGCCGCGCCACGTCACGCGCTCCGACTACTTCGGCTCGTTCGTCAAGCTGCTGAGGACCGAGATCGAGATCACGGACATAAGGGTATGAGGAGATTTTTTTTTCGCGTTTATTTATTTATTTATTAATTCCTTTTTTTTCCAGACGATTGAAAAAGCCTACGTACCCGTGCTGAAAATGAAGTTCAGCGGTATCGATATCGATCTGCTGTTCGCGAGACTGGAACTCGAAGTGATACCTCCCAAATTGGTGAGTTTAACACACGCACACATGTTATTTTTTTTTAAATCTTCGATTTGATTCCATGTCGTTTCTCGCGTTTCTCCAGGATCTCAAGGACAACTCGCTGCTGGCCACGCTCGACACCAAGTGCGTGAGGAGCCTGAACGGCTGCCGCGTCACCGACCAGATCCTCTCGCTCGTGCCCAACGTCGACACGTTCAGGCTGACGCTGCGCGTCGTGCGCCTCTGGGCCAAGCGCAACAACATCTACAGCAACATCCTCGGCTTTCTCGGCGGCGTCAGCTGGGCCATCCTCGTCGCCTACACCTGCCAGCTCTATCCGCAGCACGATCCGGCCCTGCTCATTAGGGAGTTCTTCCGGCTGTTCTCGCGCTGGAACTGGCCGACCCCGGTCTGTCTGCGCCCCCCGGAGCAGGTCAACTTTGGCTTCCCGGTCTGGTTCAACAACAACAACAACAACAACAACAACAACAGCAACAACAACAACAACAACAACGGAGGCCACAGCGTCGTTGGAGTCAGCGGCGGCAGCAGCAGCGAATTCGGCTACCAGGAGCGCGAGGCGCTCATGCCCATCATCACGCCCTGCTATCCGGAGCAGAACACCACGTACAACGTGTCGAGGTCGTCGCGTCGGGTCATCGTCGAGGCGTTCGAGCGCGGCTACGCGACCATCAGCGCCATACTCGACAATCAGGCGCCGTGGGACACGCTTTTCGAGCCCGTCGTCTTTTTCGGCCGCTACAGGGAGCACGTGACCGTATTCGCCAACAGCACGACCAAGCACAAGCATCTGCTGTGGTGCGGTTTCATCGAGGCCCGAATACGCCATCTCATAGGTGTGTAGACTAGTTTTTTTTTATTGTATCAATTCCAATAGATTATTTTTATTTTTTTTATTTTTCGTCGTTGACAGAGCGATTGGAGCGACACAAGTGTATCAGCGTTGCTCACGTCCACTCGGAATCATACAGTCCGCCGGCTCTGCTCGGGAACCAGGGCTACTGCTCGGTCTGGTACATCGGTCTGGCCTTCGACAAAGAAGACGTCGAAGTCAATCTTCAGCACGACTTGCAACGATTTACCGAAATAAGTGAGTACACCACCGCCGCTTATACTCTTTTACCGAAGGAAAATTGACGACGAAAAAAAACAACCTAATATCGATTTTTTTTTTGTCCAACCCACAGCGAAAGCTCAAGCTGAACAGATCAAACTATTCAAAGCGGACATGGATTTAACTGCCATACACACGAAACGCAGCAACAATAAAGAGAAGCTCGTTCAGCATGACCAACAGAACGACGACAACTACAATAATAATAATAATGATGATACCGTGGCCGACACTACCGCGTACCATACGTAGAAGGGCAACGAACGAGAGAAGAAGGACATCATTATTATTATTTATTTTTTTTTTTACAAATTCGTATGTAATCGTGACGCTTATTATATAATATTATTATCTTAAGTTTAATATTAAATCATGGTTTGAAATGAAAAAAAAAACCTTAAAAAAAAGTTAAAAAAAAATTAAAAACCAAGTGAAAAAAAACACAAAAAACATACTCGAGAAAAAAATCCAGGAAAAAATGTTTGTTACTTTAAGACTTATCTAAATAATTGACATATTGATAATTTATGCCAAAACGAACGTGAATATCGTTTATCAAACGATGCAACTTTAGAAAAAAAATGTATTATGTATATAGATACCCCCCTATCCCCTAGAATTATTTTATCGGAAATAAAAATTATGTCTAACAAACATAAATAATGCGCGTTGTAATTTATTTCCTTAATACCTGGCGCCCTAAAGGACGGGATTAATTAAACGAAGCTTGCGCACACAACGCAAATGTCTCGGATTGCTCGTTAAGCCATTGCTTATCCGGGCAATTTTATAATGGAAAAAAGCTCTCCTATATATCACACATAAATATGTAATGGTTTCGAGAGCGATCTCGGATCTCAGATTATACATAAAAAAAGAAAAGGTTAAAAAAAATCGAATGTCGAGTGTATGCTACGCGAGCCTGCCACGCGGAGAAAAATTTACTGCCGGTCGTCGTATATATTACGGAGAATGTGTGTATATAGGGTCACACGCGGCGGCGGGGGGAGAGGGAGAAAAAAAGCTCCGCAGCGTACTGCGTTAACGTCATATCTATATTATGCGCGCGCGAGTGCAGAGGACGTTGCACTACACAGCTACTCTATATACGCGTATTTCTCTCGATATATACGTACGTATATGGATGTAAAAAATGTACGTAGCCATATAGAGAATCGAACGATCGGAGCAAGAGAGGCACACAACTCGCTCTACATCTCTCTCGCGCTTGCTTGCATATACATTAACTCGTACAACGTGTGTGTGTGTGTGTATACGTATCGAACCATATGCATTAAACATGCGACCCGTCGACGACCTTAGATGCTGTAAATTTTTCCCCCCTTTTATTATGTATATAATAATACATACTGCAACGACGCGAGCGCACCGGTGAAATACGAACTTACTCCTGTGTCGCTGAGAGCTGTTACTTTTTTCTCGCTCTCTGTCTCTCTTCGAGGGATCTTTTAATAAACCAAGAACGAAAAAAGAACACTATACGGCAGAGCTTGCGAGCAGCGGCAGCACAGCTGCAGTAATGCAGTGTGATTTTCATATAAAGAGACCGATATAGAGCTCTCTCTCTGCATTTGGCGTCCAAGCGATCGATATTCGAAGCTTCTCTCTATGTTACGGAGGGTGGGAGGTAGAGAAGTAATCGAAACGATCCAAAACTACACAACTGCGGTAAATTTCTTTATATCCGCGAGCGATTCGCGAGAGATCTGAATTACACATTTTTCGAAACGAAACTTTTGCCCGCGCGCATATAATTCACATTAATGCCTTTTCGAATATCCGATCGCTACGCGCAGGTAATATTTGCTCCAGCGCGCCGATAAAAGTGCAGCAATAACAAATTCGTTCTTCGACCAAAAAAAGAAAGATGAAGTAAATTATGAAAAAGTAAGAGAGAAGATCCGAGAATAATCGCGTAAACTGGTCCATATCTCCGCTGTACAGAAACTTCCCTTATCTGAAAATTTAACGGGCCTCGCGTGCGTGCGGCTGCTGCAGCTTCCTTTTTTTCATCCGAGACAAACTCGATCGTCCACGCGCGCGCGCGATCGCTCTTCTGTCCGTGCACTTTTCACACGCGACGCAGCTCGAACCAATTCGAGCCCCGCAGTCTTCTATATACCACTGCAGCCTGCACAGGGCCCCCTTCGTGTTCCATCTCACTTTGCGTGTAAAACCCGGAGAAATATATTTCCACGAACGATCAGCGACCGGGAACGTGCAGAATTATAGAACCGCATGACTGAGAGAGGCTCTACATCTCTCTCTACTTGGTTAACCTTTATAATATAACATTATATAATTGTGCACCAGAGCTCTACTATATCTATATACGAATTTCCTCCGTCCGTCCGTCTTTCTCTCTTCCTCTCGGCGAATATTGCTATCGCGAACTTGGCTGCTACTGCTGCTACTCTGCACTATTAGGTATCCTTTTTCACTCTATGATTCTATATATACGTATGAGGGTATGTGTGTTTACAGTTGCAACGACGAGGAAGAACTTCTGGTTTCAGTAGAGAACTCTATATTAAGGTTTCTCGCTGCGTAAGCTCCGAGGAAGAAGAAAGGAATAAATGGCGAGAGGATGGTAATACGCTAACGCACACACACACAGCCGCGCAGTATATTTCACGCTATTCTCTCAAAACTCTCTCGATTGCCATTCGCGGGTAAAACTTGGATAAGATCAAGGTTTTAATAAAACGTATTATAAAAGTTGAAGAAAACAAACACGCGGCGCGCTGCAGCTGTATAATAATCCGTTTGGAAAGAAAGCAGATCGCGAAATCGCCCGCAAAAGCTCTCTCTTTGATCGCTGTAACGTACATAAAATGGCTTTTAATGGCTCTGCGGGTTGTAAAGCTCGTTCAATGATATAATTGGCGAGCACGAAGAAGAGAGAAAGAGAGACAGAGAGGATGTATTATATCGTACGATATTATTTTATACGGGGCAGCCGCGTAGCCTTGTCGCAGTGTACTGTTCATCAAAAAGTTCATATAATAGTTTAGAGGAAAAGCTCCGCACCGCGAACGAGAGAAGAGAGAGAGAGAAAGGAGAAATAAGACAGAAGCGAGAAAGCTCGTTAATTAAATTTTCCCCTTCTCTTACGCCGACTTTTTGTCTCCCCGTCCATTTGCGCGCGTCTTGTCCGCGACTACTGCTGCTGCTACGCAGCTTCGTTGCGTGTCTGCGAAACTGATATCTGACTGCCTCGCTCTCCGGAAAAACTTTTAGATTATGTATATACATGAGCGGGGATTATAAACTTCTATTCACGCGGATGAGAGAGTCTCGAGCGCAGCGTTGTTTGGCGCTATTGCTCGCCAAAAAGTGAACGTTGCGTATTATTTTTTCGACGAATAATCGACGCGTACGTCGATTACAACTTTGCATTTTAAAAACGCCTAGCCTCGCGGAAATGGAAATTGCACGTGCGCACGAGACTACTCCAGCATCGAGAGAGAGAAAAAAAAGCTCATTTCCCCCCTCGAGTCAGACAGGAGGATAGACGAGGAGAAGGAAGCAAAAAAAAATCGTCCGATTCAAAGCCGTCTGTGATAAATAAAACTCCAGAGAGAGAGAGAGAGAGAGAGGAGTGAGCTAGCTCTTTATTAGAGCTACTGTACTATCGTAGCACGTACTCTATCGCCGAAGCCAGAGTCCTTTTGTTTTTTTTTTTTCGCGCGCGAGCGATGGAGAAGAAGGATCAATGACTCGGCAAAAAAATATCCAAGAGCTCGCTTATCTCATCGACAAAGGAAGACGAATGATAATAATGCGCCGAGCGAGAATCGAAACATTTACACCCGCACTCGCTGAGAGGCGAAATGTATGATCGAACTACTACTGTGTGCGGAGAGAGAGAGAAAGAATATTGAAAAATTAACGAGCTACGGGCGCGTGCACTATATATATTACGTATATTATATGTATAAAACAGCATGAGAGCAGCGCGAGAAGAGAAGAGAGAGAAAAGGTCGACGAGAGGTCAACGCTAGACATGGCGCTTTACTATAGGTACACACACACACACACACACACATACACAGACACACTTTGTGTAACCCTACTCAACCCAGATACATAGAGCAGAGCTAGTAGAGCTAGCCAGCAGCGGCATGACGGCGGCGGCGGCAGCGGCAGCCGTCAAGCTCGACTCGGAGATTTTTCGGCTCGAGAGCCCTATACGTTATACGTATGCTGTATATATAAAGGCATGTGCTTGCTGCTGCACACAGGGGGACATGAGTGCTCGTGCACCGAGACTCGCTCGCGAGTCCATGTGCACGAGAGACGAGTAGTGCGAAAAACGTATACCTACGTATTACGTGGGTGCGGGAGGGCGGATAGCTTCGCGCAGAGACTCTGAATTTTACATCTCTCTTATTTTCGAGCGAAAAGAAAATTCCTCCACACACGCCGCTCTCCGTATATATAGACGTGTGATATAACGCATTCTCCGATATTATACGAAACAGAGAGAGAAAGATGATACGCATTACAGTGTGTAATACGCGGATATAAATCTTGACGAAAATTTTTCGGCGTATATTAGCCGTCGCGCAGTACAGCCCCCGTACATCGCAAACGTATAATATACATAAGAGGAGGAAAAGGTGGTGTATATTTCAGAGGAGTTTCTTTATTCTTCTTCTTTCCTTTTTTTTCGAGTGCAATTTTTTCATGCACGTTGAGTTTGCGTAGAGTTAACCCGTGAAAAACGAATGAGCGACGCAAGATAATCATATTGCGCCGAGGCATTTCTAAAAAATGCATTAAGATATCATAAAACTTATCGGCACTACCAAAAAGTTGGCAGATCATGAACAACCCAAACTGTACGCCGTGGTGTTGAAGCGGTATATTTTGGAAGGAATATCCAAATTTTTTTATAGTTTATGATATATTGTGTAAGGATCTACTGACTTCATTTTACCAGGGGGTTTTTGAAGTACATTAAGTTTGAGAACTCAAAAAAATTTTCACGGAGAAATTTTTACTAAGGTAAAATTTTAAATTTGCTTAAATATTGAACGGACAATATATAAACAGATAAATCGGTAACTTAATTGTGAACAATATGATCACGAACGATTTTGACATTGATTCTAGACTACATTGATCATGTTTATAATAGAAACAAATTAGTTTCAACGTCTTCTTTCCCGATGTAACAATTAATAATAGCGAAAGATAAATTTTACTCATTTAGCTTTCGTGAAACAAATTGAAGGATCCATCGTTTGATTTAAAAATTAAAATGGATAAAAGTGATAAGATATCCGAGGAAGTAGTCTCTAAAAATAATATAACTGAACACGACATTGT